TCCCGTCTTCCTGTATGCAATTACCTGGGCCGCGCGTATTATCTATCATTCGGAATACTTTTTTATGCGCTTGTGCTCGGAATTTCGGTCCACGTGCTGATGTTTGTCGGTCTGGTTTACTGATCCATTTGTCGACCTTAAAACATGCAGAAAAATAAATAAAGTTTTTGGCGCTAGTGTTTTCCTGACTTTTCTGATACGATGATATGTTCATATGAAACATTATTCGCCTGTCAGTTGTAGACACCTTCTAACTGTGGGTTGCATGTATTGACCTAACTGTGACTGTTTATTCTACAGCCGAAAATTGAATAATGAACAGAATCTGTCTACTTGCTCAAAAATTAACTTGAAAATATAAATTTATTTGCTATGACGGGACCCCCAAGGGTTATTCAACAAAATTACTTATATAACTAGCCGGCAGGCGATGGCTTCTATGGGTCTGATGAGGAAATACTGCCACTGATTGTTCTTGCGCAGTCCGGATGGCCTGAACAACCGCACTGTACGAGAGTGACGAGCTATGCAGCAGGACTACTAGCATATATGATTACTCTTGACACTGCTAACTGACAGGGCATCTCCTCTGCAAGCCGTCCACTATTTCCTTTTACGTCTTCGCTTCCGTTCCATTTTAATCGTTGTCCGCCCCTGCAGCATCCCGTTCCCCTTAGGTCTCCTTTGCAGTGGTTGTACTATCCACTGGGTTAGGCCTCGATTGCCACTTTCCTCAGAAGAAAATTACGTCTCATTCTTCCCAAAATTTTGTACTTGAAAAAAGGGTGTAATTCGGCTTTAAAGGAGTTTCTGCGCATGAGACCGCTAAAGACAAAGATATGCCAGTTCGTAAAATATCCCATCTCTGCATTTACTAATATGGCTTGTAAAGCTTGTGATGTAGTTCAAATCCACTGCTAAATTTTATAAACCCCCACTAGTATCCCCTTAACAATTTGGAGAAAGTATAAGTTATGCCGTACGCGGAAGATGTACGTCGTGTAGTTTGCGAAGCCTGCGGGCAAGTGCTCCGGCAGCTCGAGATCAAAATTATCCGGGAATAGGAGGTTTTTAAAACCGATTGACATGCTTCTTCTGACTATGAAATTCGAAGAAGACGTAATTTTCTGCCCTATGAGTAAAGGGATGAATATTTGTATGCATGTCTTATAAGACCTTATAGTGACCTTGTCTGCGCGCGCCACACGCATGACCTGGCCTGCCAAACACAAGCACGGTGATTTCACACAACGGGGGTTAGGCGGCGTACACCTCACATGCGTGAGGATGACGTAGGTCACGTTTAGAAGGGGCCGCTTCGGCGTGGCTCTCAGCCCACCAGTCCACCACTCCAACCATACATACACACAACTGGGTAGACTGCGTGGACTGATTTGGACTTCAGTCGACAGCCTTTTAAGCCACGGCGCTTGACACGCCGTGACAGTCTGAGGCCCGAATCACACATGCAGCAGAAAAGCCACATGGACGCGGAGCCGAGACGCACACTTCCCACTTGCGTGGAAGGTGGTAATTGGATGCTGGTAGTGGGTGATAATGTGTGAAGGTGTGGCGTAGCTGGCGGCTATCAACCGCAGGTTTTCGTGAATGCGCATGTGGCCTAATAGGCCCATGCGGTGGATGAACGTGCGGATTCAGTGAGAGCAGTTGAGGCGGGTGCGTCTGGTGTATGTTGATGCTCCACGTACTCGTTCGTCAGCTTCTGTGCGATAGATTCGCGAGTGACCAACCAGGCCGGTGAGTGAGGTGAATGTATGTGGACAGTGTAGGCAGGAAAAGCAGGCAGTGTCGGTGTCGGTTTCGCAGATGGTGGCAGTGGTGGGGTTTCTGATGGTGGACGCGCTGGACGACGGGGCGTGGGTTGAGATAGGCATGGTGGATGTGCAAGATGCGCTGAGTGTGGTAGAGCTGATAGTGATGGGTGTGCTGGGCGGCGAGTTGTGGACTGAGCTAGGTATGGTGGACGTGCAGGAGGTGCTAGGTATGTTGAGACTCGGTCAATTCCGCTCTCATGGATACGCATCTGACCGAATAGACATATGCGGTGAGTGAATGTGTGGGGTTGGTGTGGACGGTGGAGGTTAATGCTGCGAGTGTAGGTTGGTGCTCCAGACACTGGTTTGCCAGTCTCGATGCGATAGATTCGCAAGTGACCGACTAGTCCGATGTGTGAGTTGAAGGCGCGATCGCAATGAGGACAGGTCTGGATCAAGTCCAAGTCCCCGGGGTTGTTGGTGAAGGGAGGACTGATGTTTGTTTGTGTGTCAGGATTGTGTGAAGCGGTAGTGGCTACAGGAGCCAACGTAGCGGATTTTGAGACATTGGAGGTGTAGAAGTATGGGTAGGAGGAGGAGGAGGAGGAGGAGGAGTAGTAGT